GGGCGAGCAGGTGCGGCGGGGGGAGGGGATGCTCTGAGGGCACCAGGGGGACCCTGGCTTGGGAAGGGGCCCAGGCTTCTCCTGCCTTGATCTGTGACCCTCGCTGCGTGCAGGGACCTGGGAGGGTATGTCTGAGTCAGCCCAGGGTCAGGCAGTTTGGGGAAGAGTGGGAGGTGGGGAGCTATTGCATTTCCTTGGAAGCCAGGCCCACACTCTCTGGGTGTGGAGGTGGCTGCCCAGACATGGCCCTGACCTCCCGCCCTGCCCTGGCTGCCCTTTACCCGGAGCCTTTGACTGATATCCCGTGGGGGTGGGGGGAGCAAGGGCAGGCCCGAGGCGGTGCTGGGTGTCTGTGATGTTCGAGGAGGCAGCCTTCTCAGTGAGCGCTGGGTGCTGGAGAGGGTGTGGGCCTCTGTGACAGTCTCTGTGGGATGACCTTGGCCGGGGCTGGCAGAGGAGGCTGGCTGTGTCAGGAACGGATGAGTGGCTGTCGAGGAGTAGGAAGCAGCAGGGAAGTCACAAGGGGTGTCCTGCTCCCAGGAGCCACCCACACCCACGGGTGTGCTCACAGCTGCCAGGCATGAGGTGGAGGGAGCTGGGGCGCCACAGCAGAGGGCGGGGGAAGGGGAAGTGGCCGGATCTGTCCCAGACCGGGAGGGCATCCCGGGGGAGGCGGCCAGAGCTGGTTTCAGGGCGGGGCCAGGTGGGCTCCTGAACCTTCATTCCCTGGGAAGTGGGCAGGCCATCTGCAGGGGGCATCTTAAGGTCCTGGCCAGGCTCTGAAGGGCTGGGTGGGAATTTGGAGAACTAAGGCCAGGCAGGGGTGTGGCCAGGAGGGCAGGGGGAGGGGTGCTGTGCTGCGGTGTACGGTGGACCCCTGTTCATGCCCCTAGCGTCTGGTCCTGGCCAGGCACCCCTGGGGCAGAGAGAACTTGAGGATGCTCGGTCAAGGGGGTGGTGGAGGCCGGCGCTAGAGGGCAGTGTGATGGGCCCCAGGGGCTCCAGGGGCCCCAGGGCAGAAAGAGTCCAAAGCTTGCAGACAGGGGAGTGGCCAGGGTTTCTGGACTTCCGTCTTTCCGCCTCGCCCCTGGCCTCCACTGCGATTTGAGAGGCAGTAGACCAGCGGTTCTCAACCTGTGGGTCGCGACCCCTTTGGCGGTCGAACGACCCTTTCACAGGGGTCGCCTAAGACCATCCTGCATATCAGATATTTACATGACGATTCATAACAGTAGCAGCATTACAGTTATGAAGTAGCAACGAAAATAATTTTACGGTTGGGTCACAACATGAGGAACTGTGTTTAAAGGGCCAGAAGGTTGAGAACCACTGCAGTAGACAAATCATATAATAAATGGTAACATGAATGTGCTTGAGAGTGGATTTTTCAGACGTGGACACATTTCACCTATACCAGAATCTTGTAAGATTATATATATATATAAAATTGATTTCAGAGAGGAAGGGAGAGGAAGAGATAGAAACATCAACGATAAGAGAGAATCATGGACTGGCTGCCCCCTGCACGCCCCACACTGGGGATCAAGCCCGCAACCCGGGCCTGTGCCCTGACCGGGAATCGAACCGTGACCTCCTGGTTCATAGGTTGATGCTCAGCCACGGAGCCACGGGGGCCAGACCCTTGTAAGATGGATGACGGGCACGTGCCACCTCCAGCGAGTGCCCGGAGAGCTTGGTTGCCAGCTCCCACGCACTTGCTCCAGGCGGGCCCTGTGTAGCCCGAGCTGCCCAGCGGCCAAGGCGGAGAGAGAAACACCATCGGCTCTGACATGCGTCCTGGTCCCTGTCCCCGAGAGCAAGGCCTTTCCAGCCCCTTGAGAGCAGCAGGTCGCTCCCGTGGGCGGGGTGCAGGGCGCAGCGGGGTTGACAGCCCACACGTCAGGCCAGTGATCAGTCGCGCCGAGGCCGTCCGCCTGGTCCTGACCAATCAAGCCCCGCGGGTCCCGTAGGCCCCGCCCCCTGGCGTGAAACCCCTCCCTCCTGGAACCCTGAGGTC